GAGTATGCAAATGAGGGGAAGTGTGTCCTTTGCTTGAGTGGTTTTTATGGCCAAGGGTTTTAGGGATGGCATTTTCTTATGTAGGGTCTTCTGAGGGTCCTCTCATAATGTGCTCGTGGCTGGCTTGACTTGCTGAATACATATCTATGGATAGGGACTTTTGCTTTTCCAGAATGTTCAGGACACCTTGCATCCTGCAACTCTGTGGCCTGCATCCGTTGCCTAGGCAGGTGCCTCTGTAGTAATGTCTGTGCTCAGAAAGAATGTGGGATTTCCTTTAGAGCATGAATGTAAATCCAGTCAGAGATGGTCTCACAATACTTCAGAGTCTTAAAACAGCAGAAGGATGCAGAGATTAGAGCAGGCCTCCAGACAACAACAGGCATAGCAGCCTAAGGGGATATTCTCAGAGCTGTGCAGCTGAAGTGGGCATCAGAACCACCTGCAGGGCTTATTGGTGCTCAGTGTGCTGGGCCCCACACCTAGCATTTCCTAGGTACTAGGTCTTTGGTGCATCTGAAATTCTGCCTGCTTCTTAGCTGATACATAAGCTGCTGAACTGCATTTCAAGAGCCAGTATTCCTGTCCTATTTAACATGAACATGAGACAATCATGGGAATGGCCAGGACCCAGAACAGTCTGGAGGTCTAACAACACTGATATAATAAAATTAAATTAACTTTAAGAAAGAAAAAGTTGGACCTTTGAGATGATTCAGTGGGTAAAGGAACTTGCCACCTAGGCCAACAACCTGAATTTGATAACCTGGAGACAATGTGGTAGAAGGAGAGCTCTGACTCACATAAGTAGTCCTCTGACCACACACACACACACACACACACACACACACACACACACAAGCACACACGCACACATGCATGCAAAGAACCAGTACCAATCTTTGTGCATAAGCAAATCCCCAAAACTTGTTTAAAATGCACAGCCTTGGGCCCAGGATATTTTGATTCAATGAGCCTGGGATAAAGCCTTGAGACCTACACCTCCATCAGTCTCCCTGTGGTTTAGTACACTTGTAGTCTATGTGCCAACTGGCCTTGAGTATTTCCTTTTATGTTCACACACGTTACATCTCACTAAAGTACACATAATTTGAATATCTTGTCCAAAGTATAGAATTCTACCTTGATCAAAGGATTAGCAATCTTCAAAAGGAAATAAACTCAGCATTTCTTTATTTCTTCATCAGAGATGGGAATCTGGTAATAGTTCAGTCACCCACATAGGCCCTGAGAGCACTAAGTTCTCTCTCCCAAGCAATGTCATTCCTGGTATGTTTGCAAGTGAGTGTGCGCCTGTGAGCAATCTACTAGCCTCCAAGAATAGTCCTTATTTACTCTGTCAGTGCAGTTCCCCCAGTGTGACCATTGTCAGAGAGAGGGAAAAGCCTCTGAATAAGCCTTTCAGTCGTTCACCCTTCCAACATTTGGCCATGCTATTGAGGTTATGCACCTAGGTAGGACAAAAATAAGGAAGAAACAATTCTTTTTCTCAAGGCTTTTACAGTATTGGGTCATAATTTCTGGGGTTGATGTCTGCACTATCAGTGTTTCTGCCTCCTTTAGTACCCACATTATGCTACTGTATACACCCCCTCCAGCTTGTTAACTCAACTGATGCACATGCCAAAGACCAACAACCCTGTGCCATACAGCCGGGAAACAAGAAAGCAATATCCAGTGTTACCAGTGGCTTAGTTCCATCTGCACCTACAGAAATTTAATTTGAGCACATAGGTGCCTTTCAAACATTTTCTTTATGTTGCTGTTAGAACTTGGTGCTAGACTTGGTTCATAGTTCATTGGAAAAACAGATAGTATTTGGTGTTGTATTGGGAAAAAAATATCAGTATCAAAAGTCTTTTATCCATATGCATGTATGAAATTGACGAACTTAATAAAAAGTATCATATTGAGAATCTAGTTATTAATATAAAATCAGACATGTTTTTGTTTATAATTATTTATGACACCAATCTAAATTCAAATATTTCATAACATTTTTACAAAATGGACTGCTTTCCATTAAAATTCATGTAATGCTTCTCTTTATCCAATTTAAGTCAGTCATCAAAGGATGCTCATGCTAGCTACATTTTTTTTTCTGGAGCTAAACATAGTGAATCATATAGTATGAGGGTGTTATCAGCCCAATTTCATTCTAAACAAGAGAAAATGTACCATGGAGTCACTGCCTCTCATTTTTTAAGGTCATTGATTGGGTTCAAAAGGCAAATGCCTTTTTTCGTTGAACTTCCTTCAATTAAGCCATTAACCTTTTGCAATAAGTGTATTCAAAAATCTATCAAAGAAAGCTAAATGAGATTTTAACAAAATCCTGACAATTTCAGCTTAAACATATACACAGAAACCATATGTGCTTAGGAAGAAATATATACACACAGGCATTGTTTACAGAGTGTGTTTTTCTATTTGGAAGACAGTGAAGGAAGAGTTATTCCATACATAATCTGAAACGTGCGTTCAGAGAGACACAGAGACTCTACAGTAAGAGACAAAGATATCTCTATCCACAGTGTGGAGACAGACAGACTGACTGACTTCAAACTTGGACTTGCAATGTGAATTTTTTCCCCTCATCTCTGGGTACTGCTTTTCAAAATTGCCTTAGGCTACAGAACAGCACCTCAGATCCCCAAGGCCCACTGCCTGGCTCCTAATAGCCACTCTCCATCTGTGTCACATGAGCAGCTGATGAGATCGCTCCAGTGTCTGTATTTTGGAGAGCACTTCCACCCAGGTGAAAATGCTGGGGTTGCCAAGGAGCAGTCAGAAGCCATTAGTGTGGGTGAGAATTTGCCTTGCAGCAGTTCCTTGGCACAGTGGAAAGTGTGTGCACACGTCCCATGCAGGCTTGGGCATGTACGTGTGTGTGTGTGTGTGTGTGTGTGTGTGTGTGTGTGTGTATGTGAATACATATGCAAGCCCCAGACAGATGTACATGTGTGTGCAGGGAAGGTCAACAGATAAAGACTAGATTCTATATATCCAGTATTCAAAAACCAAAGGATTTTTCTTTCCCTGCCCACACATTTCTTCTTTGACTATTCGGCTCTCCCTCTCTCCTTTCTCCCCTCTCTCTCTCTTTCTCCCCCACCTCCCCGTGTGTGTGTGTGTGTGTGTGTGTGTGTGTGTGTGTGTGTCTCCATCTCTCTGTCTCTCTCTGTGTGTATGTGTGTATGTGTGTGTGTGTGTGTGTGTGTATGTGTCTGTCTCTCTCTCCCCCTCTTTTTTTTATCATAACAGACGGCAAAGAAAAAGAGAACAGCAACTTTGGGGTCATGCTCTAGTGTTTGGGCAGATGGAAGGGAGCTGCTTTGCCTTGGGGCAGGGTGGCTGTAACGAAGTGGCCTGTCAGTCTGTAAATAGTGAGGGTCATCCCTTCCATGTGATGGAGGGGATCGCATTGCAGTGAAAATGGAAATGTCAATAAAATTAATCTGCCAGCTCTTTGCTGTGGTTTTTCTGCTTCTCTGGTCAAAGAAGGTTGAGGTTTTTTTTTTTTCTGCGAGAGAGCTAAAGGAACAGGTACCAGAAAGGCCACAGGGCAGACCCAGAAGTTCTAAAGGCCAGTGCCCCAGTGGGCAGGAAGTCTGGGTGAAACACCACTTGGGAGGAGGGAGTGGGGCTGGTGATTTGCTGGTGGATCTGCTGCATTCCTCGGGCAGCTCCAGAGTGCCCAGCTCAGGCTACATTGAGCACAGAGTTTATTGTTTTAGGCTTTCTTGGACAAGGTTTTTACTTAGCGTGGGATTTATGGCATTTACTGCTAATGAATGTCTATTCTTAAATTACAAAAAAACCCATCTCAGCGCAATTCCCAGATGTCCTTCCAGGACCCCAGCTTCTTAAACACCAGCAGGGAGCATAAACTCTCCACTTCTCTGTTTTCCTCTTTCGTGTGGCTCCAGGCTAATGATGTGCAAGGAAAACACAGGCATCTATAAAGCCCCAGTGCTGTCCCCGTATCCTTCATTTAGTTTGCATTTGATTATGCCACAAGTCGGATCTTGTTTCTTTCCTTTTTTTAAAGTTATTAGTTCAAATATTAATGTAGGGATATGGCATATATTGCTACTCTTGATTGATGCCTTCCCAAAAACAGGAAGACGTGCTCGTATGAATTTTAAGAAAGTAGGGGTCCTGCAATGCCTTGCCAGAAGAGTTTTTCAGATACATAATTTAGATGCCCTCCAGGCAGGCTTTCAAGGCATTTTTGCCGGAGGGCAAGAAAAAATAACTCTGACTGTTAAAAGTAAATGATTTTTGCTAATGCACAATTAATGCCAGAGAAAAGCACAGAAGAGAAAGATGTTGATAGGAAGGCTCTGATTAAGTGAGCACCCTACCTTGATGTGTGTCTTTTTGTCTGCTGCCTCACGATAATGATCAGTGCTGCAGAGAGCTAAAAAGTTTCCATGTCATGCAAATGTGGAGCTCTGGGTCATAGGAGGGGTGTGCAAATGTTCGAGTTTAGGAGGTGACAGTTCTGGGAGGGGCTGAGCAGGCAGTGCGTTATGTGCAATCAACAGTGACACAGCTACTGTCACCTATGCAGGCAGCCTAGAATATATAGACTACAGAACATTTAACTTGATTACCCAGCAGTCTGTGCTCACTATGGGCACGGGGATGTATTTCTACCAAATGGGCTTTCTCATAGCGGTTTGCCCACACTGGGTTCCATAATTGACAAAGAGCTACTGCGCTGTGTCAAGTACACAATTATAATTGAATTAATGATATGGGCGAGAGTGAGACACACAAAATTAACATTTGAAGAGGCCTGGCTTAATTTTGTCTTTTACATATTTGTGTCTCCAATTATACTTTAATGAAAGGGAATATACCCCCTTAATGGATTTCTTTCAGTGAGCTTAGCTGAGCTCGTCATTAGCCTGGCATTGTTGTTGGCACCCTCGCTATGCTTGCTTTAATGGATCTTCATTTCTTCCTATTAGGTGATGGGTTAGACAACAGTGTAGCTTCACCTGGCACAGGTGATGATGACGATCCAGACAAGGACAAAAAACGCCAGAAGAAAAGAGGCATATTCCCCAAAGTCGCGACAAATATCATGAGAGCTTGGCTCTTCCAACATCTCACAGTAAGTTAAGATAAAAGATATTTTAAAAAATAACCAAAAGTTTATTTGTTATTTTGCTAAGTTTCAGCGAGTCACAAGGTCTCTCACATAGGGTTGGTTGTTGTTTTGGTTTGAGTTCCATCCTTCTGTTCATTTTTTAAGACAAGGTTGCCTGCTTTCCATTCCTTGGAACCTGGCGACTCATACAACCGTCACAACTTTGTCAACCATTGCCATCCATTTGTCTTAAGAGGCCAGCAACAGACCTAATTCAAAATGGCCTGAGACTCTCAAAAATATATGTAAATGTTTACTGTACTACAAGATCTGAGCAACTTAAGACAATGCAGCTTCAACCAAAGGGGAGAGTTTTGCTGATTCTCCTGCTAACCAATGTTGACTCCGTCATCAGCATCTTACTGTGTGCATGTCCAAGCTCATCTCATCTCATAGAGGTGGTCTGACAACACTGTGTGTGTGTGTGTGTGTGTGTGTGTGTGTGTGTGTGTGTGTGTGTGTGATGCAGAAGAGTTGTTGGTACTCTAGTGCCTTTGTTTGCAAGGCTGAAATTTAAGATTCTGTTTTATCTGTTCAAGTCCATTATCTTAAAAGCTAACCCTTTTGGCTTCTAGGAAAAGACTAATATGTGCAATGGCCTTAAAATGGCCTTATAGTAACAATTTATATCCCCATGTTTGCAGTCAGCTCTATGTGTCAGTATATACTGGTGACTCAAAGATTCTCATGATAAAGAGGGACATATTTTTTTTTTACGGAGGAATTATGCATGCTTATATTTTACTATCTGATTGGAAATTCTTGGAACTTTTCTGAGGATGTGTCTTGTCCTAGCATTGTTTTCGGGCCATTCTATCTACACTGCAGTTTAATAACAGAGTAAGTGGTTTATTGAAAGCTGAAGGTCTTATTTGGTTATCCAGCTTGTGTGTCGTCATGCTGAATGACATTAGTTACAGTGTTGTGAATCCAGGACAAGGTTCCACTCGTATTTATGATGGCGGTTGTTGGTCTGCTCTTCTCACAGAGGGACAGAGGGCAAGGGATGAATGGTGGTAAGAAGGGAGAAGTGATGGATTCATGTTTCTAAAGCGAACATTTTGATGTAGGGACATTAGTACCAAACTGAGGTGAATTGATCTGGCCTGTGGTGTCCGCATCAGCTGGGGGTACCAACTAGGCTGCCTTGGTAGTGGTTATTCTTGCCTCGCAGCTATGGCCATTTCAAAGGTCAGGGCCCTACACTGACTTGGCTCAGAGGAATTAGACGGAACATGCGTCTTTGGGCTGATTACTTAACCAAAGACAAAATAATGAGTCCTAAGCAAATACTGACTAATTGAAAGGGCTGTAAATCCATTACATATTGGTCAGGGATAATCAGGAGTATTTAATCACTTTTATCTATTCAGGAGCACTGAAGCTGCAACAGCAAAGCCTTCAACCTTGCCATGTGCTTATTATTCTCATCATTATCAAAATTACTTCACAGCTGTTCTTTGCTACATCACCTCAGCTGGAGACTGGCTAACCTGTAAAATGTTTTTAATTTGGAAGTTGAGTGAGTGTGAGGGAGGGCTTCCTTGTTTTCACCCCGAGGTTTGGTGGTTTAAGTAGCTGGAGATGCTAAGAAAGGCAGGAGCCTCCTAAACAGGCAAGCTGCTTCATCCTGACCAGCACATGTAGTTGAGTTTGCTCCCTCTGGATTCCCTTACAATGATATCTGTCTTTGGTTGAAATTAGACATTGCCATGGTTGCTTTGCAACCAAGCATCTCTGCGCATGCATTTTAAGCATCTGCCATGAAAACCGATATCCCAGAATGCTCATAGCTTGGAGAATGTGGCTACTCTGAACTCAGACAGAGGTCAAACCCAACTGTCTGAGGGACCATCTTCATGTTCTTTCTAGCTGTGAAGGTGATTTGCTCAGTTCTTATTCTTGGCAATTGGGTAGAGACCTCACACTGTCTGCCATTAGTACACTCAAAGTCAAGATGGTGATGATGGAGTGATGGGGTTAAGGAAAAGCCAAGGGATGTCTTCCTTACCTGTCTGGAAAGCCACCAGCTCCCCAATCTTTCTGAATAGGGAAGGGTCTGTACTCAGTCTATGAACAAACCTTATGGCGAACCCATCAGGAGCTCTCCTTAGATTTCTTGTCTTGACTGTCATGGATTCAGCTCCCACCACACACTGCAGCCATCACCCATGATTCCTTGGCCCTTGCCCATCAACTGTGTTACAAGCTCACCGTCCTTGCTTCCTGAGAATGTTTACCTAGTTTAATACACACAGGACTTTGTGCAGAATTCTCAGTACCATTAACAATCTCACTGACTGCTTAGAAAAAAAGACTCACATAAGCTGAGTCTGGGGATCAGGGACACATCATTTCAATCCCTTTTCCTCTGAACTGTCTGTCTGATGGCCAGTTTAGCCCATTAAGTTCCCTTGATTTTTCTTTGCTCCATTTTTCAAATGAGAAAGCAGTGTCGCAGCGTCCACAAGTCCCTTGTCTGTACCTCTGCATTTGCTTAGGCCCTTAGGCAGAGCAATGCCCCCAGCCCACAGTCATCTTGCCATTTCCTTCCTCTTTTCACTTGTCACCAAGTGCTTTTTTCCCCCTCCTCTCCATGACCTTCTTTCACAAATTGCCCCTTTTCATGGCTTCCTCCCACTGGCTTTGTGTCCCATCTCTCTCTGTTCCCCTCCAGGCCTTTTCTGCACCTCCCTTGGATCTCAGAGAAATTCTCTCTGGCTTTCACTTTGAAAATGTTTTCTCTCCCATCCACACTTCTCCCCCACTGCAGAGAAGAGGCCTGGTAACTTTGATGAGATGGTCTTGTAAAACTTTTACTTTCCAATCTCTAATGAGCTGAAAGATTTACTCAGCTGTAATTCCGAGCTCAGAAAAACAAGAATAGAGTTCCCTAACTAGCGACATGTTAATTTAGACCTCTTTTCTTACATGCACTAACAGGCATGAGGGAGTCCTTGGAAATAGGGATGCCCTGGTATATTTCTCTGTCATTTAATGAATTTCAACATTCAAAGTGAAATGTCGGCTGGAACTCCCTGAAAATAGATGTGGCCTAAATTATTATTTCATGTAAATTTCTTTACATGTGTGGGATTCAATGCACATTCTTCCATTATCAGTCTCTTTAACATTATTTCAAACTGGCCTGTCTCCTTTTGTGTGGTGTGACCTGTTCTTGTAGTACAATAATCCCTGATGTACCCTTTTTTTCTTTCTTTCTTAAAAAAGAAGCTAATTGAATTATCTCATTATTTTAATTTGTTAAGCAAATGTATTTTGCATCTCAGGATGTGTTCTTATACAAGGGGGCTGCAAAGGCTTTGCCCCCTGAATGGGCCATTGGCCCATTTTGACATTCATGCATTCATTAACTATCAGAACATAAAAGAACTCTGGGTGTATTTTTTTTTCCAAACACCCAACCAGCATGAAGCAACTTTCCCCAATAAGCCACAGGGGTCTCTCTACATATGTTCTCAACTGCAAGCTATTGTCACCTATTCTGAATACCTCAAAAGGCCGAGAGGAGGGAAAAAACCCAACTCAACAAAGGCCAACTGTAGCAATTGTGAAGTCTTAGTCTCAATATGACAAAAATCATTAACCTTCCATTTTCTAGGAAGAACAAATTCCAGTACAATTGTAACAGTTGAAACAGTCTCTCAAATTCCTATGAACCACAGTTAGGGGAAACGATAATCAATTTGTTGACAATTGATTACTTTGGAGAAAATATTTAAACTAGAACCCAAGAGGAATTTTGAAAATTGAGCTGCTCGATGAATCTGTTTCCACGCTCAGAGCCAAGCTCTTTGAATTTGTTTAATCTGATGTTAAAGAATTACTCTCTAGTTTCTAGCTACCAGTCTTCATGGTGTCCTTTAAAACAATGCCCTCTAGAATGTCCAATAGTTTTACAGAAATAAATCCATTTCTTCTTAGAAATTCAGTTAGTAAAACTGTTGAACACCCATTATCCTCTTCTATTCATGCATGGCCCTGTCTGGCTTATTCACCCTAAGAAATCTAAAGGAAGTAGAAGAAAAAAAATCTGTAGGAAATACTTTTTCATTTGCCAGAAAGTAAAAAAGGACCAAAACAAATAAACAAGCAAATAGCAATAAAGCTATCTCAGTAAAATGTATACTCTTTATTAACACTTGGAGTTTATAAAATTGTAAAAGTAAGGCTGCCATTACAACTTTTTATTCTACTGCAAAGGTAAAAGAAATGCCAAGAAATAATCTCCAAGCTAACAGTTTATAACCATACTCCAGGCCATAAATGCTCAAGCCAACCCACCAACACCTTTCCTTGTCACCTGGGAGACCTCCCTGAGTTGTGCCCTCCATGGGAGAGAAAGGAACTCACACCTAAGGTCTTGGCTTGTTCATGCCAGTTTCTGACTGAAGGTCTTCGCATTGAAAAACAGTAATCCCACCCACCTGCTTTGATGCTCTGTCACTGTCTGTGGCAAATGCTGCTGCATCCCCTCTCTGTCTGTGGGTGTGGGAGAAGGGGTTGTGGTTTGTGGCTTGGTGACTCCATATCTACTGGCAGTCATTTTATAGGACTAGGAAGAAGCCTAGGTTTGATGATAAAAATATGCTGTAATGTATATTGACCTGCCGAGACAATGAGGCCTAGTGATGGTTCAATCTACTTTATAGGTTACATCGGAGAAACATATTTTTCCTTCAGTTGATTCATGGAGGCCTACTGATAGAAAATAAAGTCATCTTAAATTTTCTGTTGTACTACTCCCATCCCCCACACTCACCTTGCACATTGTGGGGGGACAAAAGAAAGGAAGGAAACGGAGAGATTAAACTTCAATTATTTTGTCTATTGACTAGTTCTCTTCGTGTTAGGCCAGTCTAGATAGCTTTCTTAAATCCACAACACAGTACATATTTTATCTTAAATATCACTCCAATTCTCTTTTTCCATATCTGTTGAAT